CAATACGTCCTGCATCAAAATGATGCAAAATTAATACAAGATTGTGATGCATGTATTTTTTATGCAAGTTTGTTCAAAGAAGAAATACCAATTTTGGCACTTTTAGTCTCCACACCGATACATTCTTGTCCCCTCTACCACCCAATTTTTGTTGATATACTTCGTTGTTACGCACAGTAGGTATATTCTTGAATTGTGTAATCATTCGGACTGTCTCTTAGGTAAGCGGTTGCATTAAATTTGCTTTCAATGATCCCGTCCCAAAATGTATTAATTTAGTGCAAAATAGGCAATCCCCTCAGTAGTTTTTTAACGCTCACAACGGCGAAATGGTTATGGCGGCGATCTTTAATTAATTGCCATTGTTGAGTGATTTTTCTTCCCACCACTACCAAACGGCTTTTAGAGCTGTGACTGGCGTTCAAATTTTGCAAACTCGACACCTCTCACAGAGTTTTATTCGCTTTGCTGAATCGTAGAAGTAACAAAAGACGACTAATTTACAGAGTGTAATTCAAAACCAAAGCAATGAGGCTACAACGCATGATTTGAAACAATTAGGCAATTGATAAATGTGGGCAGATGACTAACGCTCACTCTTATATTACAATGGACAAAATAAAAACTTCAAAATACCATAAACAACATTTGTTTGGGAGAATGTTTTCGAAACCTTGACTCTTTTTTTCTACGTCCGCGTAATTAGGCGGGGAAAAAATGCAAAGCAATGTAACTCAATAAAATGCTCTCGTTACAACATGTATCGATTCTGAGACATCGGTAATTCAGTCTTCATTTGGTCTTCTAATTACCATGGGTAACGGATGACAATCGACTAAAATCCGTATCGATTGAATCGGAATTTGTAAAGATGACGAAGCCCACAAATTTCAGGGTGGAAAGGATGGACAAGTGCGAATAACATCACAAGGTTCATTTGGAGCACCAAGCTCTTGCTATATTTGAGCTTCAAAACCAGTCGTTTTTTTTTAGAAATGATCTGAGACCGTAAGAACGAAAAAACAATTAAATACTCGTATAGTCATTATCACTGAGAAAACTGCTCCACCTTTCGTTTGTAGATTCTAATTTCTATTTCCTCACATCCGATTTCCGCCGTTTAATTTCCCCCGATGGCCTTGTGAGTTCAACAATCATTATGCAGAAGTACAGCCACGTTCCTCTTTTTTTACTGTCGTTCGCCTTACTGAATAATCAATAGTTCATCAGTCAATTGAAACGAATATAATAACTGCTACACTCGAACAGCAGGCGAACTAAAACACAAAATAGAACACAAATGACCTGATTTTATGTGGCGGTATCAAAAGACAAATGCCGTAGATTACACATAACGACCACTATAAGTACGGACAACTCATTTATACAACAAAAACAACTTATTAAATTACATTGGAGCGTAATTAGGTTGTTAGTTGTCATAACGAAGCAAGAAGTAGGGTGGTTTTTGTTAACGTTTATTTGATGGGTTTGTATTTGAGAAAATTGTGGACCACTACGGGTAACAGATTATCTCATTTCCATAATTGAGGCGGTTCTATTTTACTTCAGTGAAAATTGATTAAACTGGTTGGAAAGTTTCCACTACTGCGACATTCAGAGCCCGGTATAGGTACCTTTTTGTGAAGGTTTGTGTAATTGCTTTCGAATATCTTCGAAAACAATTAAAGTTATAATGAAATTTGTAAAGAGAAGTTCCATTTACAGGGTTTTTGCCTTTTAATTACTGTCACTATTATAACGGCAAGCGCGCAAAAATTTCAGTAGCCGAAATATACTACTACTTACTATAAACTGTATTATATAAGAAGAGAAACAAACAAAGGAAACGTTTAAGAGACAAAGTATGTTTGATAATATTTGCAACAGCTAATAACAGGAAAAGAAAAAAAATTATCAAATTCCTCGTGTGAGATCGAAAGGACTTTTTTGTGTGACTGGTCAGTATTCTATTAGTCAGTTTTGACTCCCCCATCAGTGTGGGGGCTACCACATTCCTTTTATCGGTACCCACTTGCGACGTCTCGTTCACCCGCTATTCGCGTTTGAACCACTAGAACGCGTGCGTAAATTAATAAAACTTATCGCAAACGACCAGATGTAACCTTATTTCTAAGACCATATCTAAATTGAATAATTTACAAAAGCGATAAAATTAAAACAAAAAATTACGCAGTTACAAAAATAATGTATCATCAGAAATGAAATTGGGAATTTACTCACTGCTATAAATAATCAGCCCTCGAATTCATCACTAACGTTAAACTTAACATGCAGGTTATCTATAGAAAACGGTATTTTGCCTATAACTACTAAATAACGCAAAATAAGGTTGGTTATTTTCCCTATATTAAATAACACAAAATATCGTTTTTCGGCAGATAACTTGCACGATAAGTTTAAATTTTCTGACAGGGATGAATAGCGCCTATAATAATAATGTTTACCATATCTTATTAAATTAGGACCTGGCAGGTCGTTGATATCAGCACGAAAGATATTTTTAGTTATTTAAAAGTAGCGGACATGCTATTTTTAGATTGAAGGGGAGACTTTTTTGAATAATACTCTCTAATTTGATCAGGGTTTCGGAAAAGAAAAAAATTGATGCTTCACCAAGTTGGGTCTACATTTTTGAAACATAGCGGTGGGGAGTGTTGGAAAGGGGGTCAAAAACTGGTTCAATCCTTCAGGACATCCTAATGAAAGGTCTCGATAAAAGAAATTGATTTCTACCAACTGCAACATTCGTGACCCATCCATTATCGAAATCGGCTATATGCTTAATGGAGTGTTAGACGAATGTACTTACAACTGGAAAATGGAACATCTGGGCTAGACATATCTTATTCTGGGAGTCACAACTTTAAGTGCGAATATCTTGAAAACTGACTCTTGGAAAAAGGCACTCACAAAGGGAAGTTGAAACCTCTGAATTTGGTATATATCAAAACTACAAATGCGAATATCTGGAGAACGGAGTGTTGCAAGAGGTACTCACAAAGG